CATAAAAAAGACTATTTACTGCTGCCCCAATCGAAGTTTTTGAAAGCGTTTTAAGTGTACATTATAATATATGGTACTCATATTTGGAAACTAACCACGGAAATATTGATTCTCACAAACACCACCTGCTCAACACTAATTTAATGAAACCTTTTGTTTACACATAAGATTAAATATATATGCCCAGTTGGACAGTATCTAAGAGTCCCTAGTCTGTGTCTTAGGAAAGATGTTTATACTACTATAAAAATTCTTTTAAAATAGTCTCCAAATTGTAGTAGAAGAACTACACCAGACCGAAGCAAGTAGAGTTTTCTTACCAGGAATTAAATCATACTTTCGATTTATGCAATTTTGCCTTAGACTTAAGATTTAATCTTGTACTTTCCATTTTAGAGTAATGTCCTCAAATAGCGATGTCCCCACCATTGAGTGTTTTTTTATAAACCAATCTGTGGCTTACTTTTGCTTTCAAATCTCTCTTCAGGTGCCCACTCCTGGTCCCGTCAGTAACAAGAGGATGGTTCACTTTTCCCCTGATTCTCACCACCATGAGTGAGTGCTCATTGTATTTATATAAGTTTATTGGAATATTCTACTTATTTCTTTTGGGAAATTGGTAGCTATTGTGAGTATAGTGGTTTTATCTGTACTTATCTTCAGAAAGATTAAATATTCTATGCCAAAGGCAATAGTGCATGAAGAATTTAAATGAAACTCATGACAAATTTTTAAATAAAGATTGGTAAATAGTTTTTCTTTTATTTGGGATAAAACTTGAAATTTATGCATGATTGAAATGCATGTAATCTCTTAAAACATTCAAATTTTCATTGCATTGAGTAGCTTCAAACTCTCCTATCCTCTGTCCTTCCTCCCTGCTCCAACCCTTGCAAAGTACTAACATGAAGAGGGAGTGGTTTTGTTATTCTTTTTCTACTCTCTGCTCCTGCCTAGCATTTGGTAATAATATTAAAGAGCTGTGGATGGACTAGAACGCATTTTCATCTAGCAACATAAGGAAGAAATGACTTTATTTTAATTTTTAAAAATAAGCAATTGAGCTTTGACTTTGATAAATTATTGGTTAAATTTTGGGGTGCTAATTCTATTTCTAAATATATCTTTTTTTAGAAACATTTAAATAAGTTATGTATCTTACTTAGTTCCATAGAGATGTTTCCTGTGAGTTCAGTTGAAATTGAGAAGGCCATAAAGTGTGGGAGGATATGAATTAATTATTGAATAAATTTTTTCTGGCAAGCAGTCATATTAGGATCTACCAATTTCTAGTTTTTTAAGTCAACTCCTTAACAAGTACAAAATAGAAATTATTGTTCAAGTATAACAAAATGGTATCAGAAAGGTTTCTTTAAAAATTTATTTGGTTTCTGTTATTTTGTTTCATTTGTTTTTTTTTTTTTTTTTCACAAGTCCATGCCAGAAGTCTTAATATTTATAATACCCTTCCAGGGCTTTTAGCTTCAATGCTTCTCCCTAGAAGCAGTTTGAAACTACAGCTTCCAGTATGTAGGTACCAGTTTATAAGAAATCTTTGTCTCTAGGCATTTTCTGTTTGTCAGAGACAGCCTACAAAAGTTTCCCCCTTGCGGGAACCAGCAGTTAGCGTAATGGCTATGTCGCTGGACTCCCACGTAGTCCACCGCGGTTTGCGTCCTGGACCCAATGGCTTAAAACTCATGCCAGGTGTGTGTGCATGTATGCCCAACATCCTGAGAGGAGAATGGAGGAGAAGAGATTGCGGCGTGACCATCCCCCCTGGGGGGTGATTTCTCGGTTTCTGTCTCTCTGTCTCTGTCTGTCTGGCGAGTGCACGTGCCCTATAGCGAAAACTTCTCAAAAAAAAAAAAAAAAAAAAAAGAAACAGTATCTTCAGTCTGGTAAGGTAATCCAGCTGAAAATTAAATTGGTTCACTCTTCAGTGTTATGTGAATTATTTGTCATCATCATACTCCCCCTTCACGCTTGCCTAGGAGTATAAGGAAATCATATATTAGCTGATTTTGTACAATCCTTTCTGTAGTTTTCTTCAGAACTTGTCATAAAGTATCTGTAAAAAATAGTGAGAAATAGTCATTAAATAGAAGCTTCTAATAGGATAGTAAGCAACAACTGTTTTCGTTGACTTAATGATTCGTCTCTGTCAATATGCTTTGGAATATCTTCTCCAAATGATAGAGGAATATTTCAGATAATTTCACTTGCTAGAATTTCAAACTTAAAAATAGATTTTAATAAATAGGATATTTGACGGGTTCTAACACAGTAACATTTAGGAATTTTTCAGTTTTTAATTCATGTAGTTAAATGCTTACACAGCATAGTTCAGTGTGGGGTAGCCTGAAAACGACTAATTTGGAGAAAAAAATTTAAAAAAACCATAAACAGAAACAGAGGTACTAAACTGTGGAAGGAGAAAAGATGTTTTTAGACTTAGTGGAAAAACAGCCAGCATGGTGTTCCGTATGGAAAAGCTCATGTCACCGAAAGTTTTCAGTTCTATATATGAGAAGAGGGTAGGCAGGTCAATAAAGGAGAGGAGAATTTCTCTAAAAATAAAGTTTTATAATAATTTCAGTTACTAAAAAATATTCCTTAGAGCAATTTGGGGAACAGTCAGTTTTGCCACACCCTTGTTTGAATATGACGTCTTGTTTTTATAGGTAAACTAACGTATGTTTTAAACAGATAGTGAGAAATGAATATCTTAAGTATGAGAAGTCATCATTTCAATAAAATAACAATGTGGTACTAATTTTTTTAAATACCATATATTCAATAGTAATTATTTCCTCACAAAACATATTACTATATTTAAAGACTAGTTACTAATATATGATAGATTACTTTTAATAGGAAATATTTAGCACAGATGAATGAAATAGTCATTAAAATAACCAGAGAGCTACACTAAATGTGACAAGAGCCTCACTCTAGCTAAAGCTGAGAAATTAGCATCTAATTTATAAATAAAAATAAAATGCTGAGTCTTGAAATTCACATTTAACTACTCTCTTGAGTTTCTAAAACTACAAATATTAAAATGTAAAAAAATATTATATGACCCCCTTTTAAAAAGATATATATAAGGCTAACATGTTACTTTTTATTAACTCAATCTCCCTTTATGGTTCCTGAATTTTTCTTTTCCTTCTTCTGGTATATTTATTTTTAAGTAGAAATAGTTATGATTTATTAATTGGTTTTATGCAAGAGAGAGAGAGAGATAGTCTCACCATATCACCACCCTTCTGTCCCAGCCTTCTAAAGCTAGGACTGCAGGTGCATGCCACTTTGCCCAGCCTATCTAGGTTGATCCCGGAACCACATCCCAGCCTGTCATGATGCCCCAACCTTGTACTACAGCACCCTGCCCCTTGCACTGCCAACAGCTGTGGCTATTAACTGACTTTTAAATTGATATTTCTATTTTGCTTTTATTTAGTGTTTCAGAACAGGATATTTACTGGAAGAGTTGTATGTAAATCAAACATACTTTAAATGTGAATGAGTAACTCATCATAATCCGATGATGAATTCTTTTATAAAGCAAATATCCACCCCCTTTTTTATCTTTTGTGTAAATATCGAGTTTGCTTAAAGCAAGATTTGCCCAGATTAAAGGTTATGTTCATTGGGAATACTTTTACCCTTTGAAATTTAGCATCTATTGCTTTAGCGAAAGTGGCCTTAACTCTAGATTGAGATAAATAAGATACAATGGATCAATTCCTCCTCTGATTTACTGTGATTCCCTTGGGTAAGTCATTTAGCTTACATATGTCTCAATATTTAGTTATGGAATAAGTATAGTAACAGTCCTTATGTATTTTTACAAAGTATTTGTGTAAAATACTGAAAGATGATTAAATTAGGAATAAGACATTTCAAAATAATAATGAGATGATACTTTACATTATAAAATTTCTTATTTAAAATATTTTCATATGGACCACTGTTTTTAATGTTTTTAGTGCTCCGAAGTAGTCATAGCAGGCATCCTACCCTCATTTTATGTGTGTCTTTTTAAGGATACATACTCTATTTCACTCAGCTAAAAGTCAATTAAAGAAAATAGATCTATTAAGCATCTATTATGGGTTTGGTAACAAGCAAACCTGTAAGTCGCACCTATTAGCATCAGTTTCTTTATTGACATTTATAGATATTACATGTCAAAACTCACAGAATAAAATTTACATCTTACTATATTCCACTGTGTACAGTTGGGAAAAGGAAATTAATGTTTATTTTGTGCCAGGTGGTTAGTCTTACTTAGGCTTTCTACTTCCAAAAGAGACTAATTTTATTTTATAAATGAGGAAGATACTGAGACTCAGAAAATAAAATTGTTGGAGCTTATCTAACTAGTAAGTGTCACAGCCTGTATCCAAAGTTAGATCTTTCTGATTTAGCAACCACACCAGGTTGAATTTCCTGTATTTACATCCATTGTTCAATAAAAGAAATGAAGTTTCAAATGAGGTTCTCGAGCCTAATTGTAAAGTTGGTTTTTTTGTTTGTTTGTTTCGTAAAGAGCTCCGAAATATCTTGAAAAGACTCCCCAACCCCAGGCTCTCTCATTCCGTCACTTTCGAATAGAATAGCAATGGTAACTATAGTTGGTATAGTCTGTCCCACATCTCAAGTCATTCATTTAAAAAATATTTATAGGACCTAGTATGTGCTAGACACTGAGTATAGGACAGTGAACAAGATAGACATAATCTCTGTTCTCAAGATAGTCAGAATCTAGGATCAGCTGGTGGCGTGGCGGTTAAGGTGCTGGAGTCCCACATGGCCGACCACAGTTCTAGTCTCAGACCTGGCAGCTCAAAAATCATGCTGGACGCATGTACATGTGTGCCCAAAATCCCAGTACGGGAATGGAGGAGGAGAAGGAGCCATCCCCCTCTGGGTGGTGGTGGTGGCCTGATTTTTCACTTTCCCTTTCATTGTCCTTCTCTGTCTCTCTCTGGCAATGCACACCCTATGGCAAAAATATTTTTTAAAAAGATAGAATCTAATAAAGATAATAGACATTCGTCAGTAAGCATACACATAAATGTATATATAATTGTATACCAACACATAAATGCATTATGACATGCTGAACTAAATACAGTAAAGAAGGAAAGAACTTTAAACAATGAATTTGAACTAGACATAGAGAAAGGGAAGACTTGTGAGGTCCCTAGGAACTAAGAGAATTGGTAGTAAGAAGAGCATTTCAAGCAGAGAAAATAAACGCATTCTGTATTCAAAAATCTAAAAGAATGCTTACACAGATTGAGCACCAGAGTGTGATGGAAGACAGTGTCATATGAGATAGGACTTGAGGGGGCTAGGCAAGGACCAGATGACGCCAAGCCTAGCAGGCTAAGGATTCCTTGTCCAGTGGGTAGTGGAAAGCCACCTCAGGTTTCAGTTGGCTTTTGTTTATTTATGTGCTCACTTGGTGTGCCCGAACTCCCTGTTAATTTCAGCATTGATGCATGTGCCTTAATCTTTTGGCATCTTCAGTTGCGGTTGTT